CATCATCATCATCATCATCATCATCAATCTACCCGTGCAACCCCCTTTTTTTTTAACCCTACCTACCACGCTACCACCCAATCAATCGTAGATAGGATCGCTCCACCCTCGATTTACATCAAAACTAATTTCTTTCTTTCTTTCTTTATTTATTATTTATTGTTTTTAGAACTCACTTGAAATTCATGTAAATTCGAAAATACTTAATTAACTATCTCTCTCGACATTTCTTCTTCAAAAATATTTTCTTTTTCGAAATTTTCGAAAATACGTAGGATTAATCATTCTTTCTCGGCATTTCTTCTTCAGAATTCGAAAATAATTTTAATTCACTTTTTCGAAATTTTTGTAATTCGATTTTTTTTTAAAATTAATTAAATTATTTTTCGACAATTTTTTTTTCTTCGTAATTCGAAATACTAGTACGTAGAATTGATTAATTATTTTTCGACATTCCTTTGAAATTCGAGACTACTTTTCCTTCGTTCTTTCGAAAATTTTGAAAATACGTTAGAATTAAGTAAATTATTTTTCGATATTTCTTTTTTCTTTTTTTTTCAAAATTCGAAAATAATTTTACTTAATTCCTCCTCTCGTATATTTTAATAAATTTCCTTTCGAAATTCTCAAACTTCGGGAATATTTAATTCCTTTTGAAATTTCACGCTTTTCATACCCCAAAATTTATTTCGAATAAATTTAACCAGAATTTATTTATTCATTCCTGAAAATTTCGTGTTTTCAACTTTTCTTCCGCAAAATCCTTTTCGAATTTTCGAATTAATCTCGAATAAATTACTCTAAATCGGAATAATTTATTTTGAATTAATTCCCATTTTATTCATTTATTGTTTTGGCAAATACCTTTACTTATTTTTGAATGAATCAATTAATGCTGTAAATAACCTCCCCACCCCCACCCCTGCCACACCTACATCTCCACATGCCACCACGCCAAGCCAAGACCTCCCAACGCGCAGTGGCCGCCGCCGCCGCTACTGCCGCCGTTGCCGCCACGTCTGCCTCCACCTCATCTGCAGCCGTCACCTCAGCTACTGCATCCACTCCATCTTCCCCCAACATGGCCCAATCCTCCAGCATCGATATGACCGCCGTCAACACCTAGTCTGTTGACAGCCTCGCTCGCGAACTTACGGGCGAACAAAGATCCGAGTCCGTTGCCACCAATATCGCCACCCTCATTCGCATGATGTTCTCTTTCCAAACGGACATCCGCGCGTCCATCACCAAAATCAAAGCCAATATCTCTGGCCTATCCAACCGTGTGACCTCTATTGAGCATCGAACCCCGGCAATCACAGTGGTCACGACCACGGCACCCACCTCTACGACCGTGCCCACATCCACCGCCCTCGAGCCCCAAACCACTACCCCCTCCATCCAGGTAGTCACCACCACCACCCCCATGTCCACTGCCGCCTCCAGCCACACCCCACTGCCGACCTCCTCCACTCCTACTACCTCTACCACCACATCCACCACCTCTGCCTCCTCCACCTTTCCCCCCCCCTCATCCGGCGCATCCAACACACCGCCTCATTCCTCGCCCATCCACGTCACCCCTCTTCCCCCTCCACACTCTCATACCCTTCCCCAACCGATCATGACGACCTCCACCGTCCCCACCATCCGTCCCACCTATTCCCAAGTCACCTCCGGGGCTTACCCCGCAATGCCACAACTCCCCCCCAACTACCTCCTTGAGGACAACAATGTACTCGACTACACTTGCTACGACACCACCCCCGATAACCTCAGCTTCAACACCCTCGCCCGGATCGTTTCCCGCGACGGGGAAATCCCCCGTTCCTTTCGATCCGGCGACATCATGTCCTTCTCCGGCCTCCCCCACGAGGACGTTTCCCTCTTCCTAACCCAACTCCAGAACTCTTTTCACCTCCACCACATGCCCCTTGCACACTGGCTCCCCATTGCCACCTCCCGCCTCCTCGGCAATGCTGCCAAATAGTGGATGGTTGAAGTCAACAACCGTCGAGCCTCCAAAGCACCACGTCATTCCTTCCTCCAATGGGCCAACCTTCTCACTGCCACCTTCCGCTCCCAGAAAACCATTGATGACTACCTTGAACAATTATGCCACCTCCGCCAGACTGATCCCACGGACCGCTTCGTCCAATATGTCCGCTCCCTCCTCAACCACCTCCCCACCACCATCATTCCGGACTTTGCATTCATCTCCCGCATCAAATAAGTATGCCACAAAGACCTTGCAACCGCCCTCGCCCACGAACCCGACATGCCCCTTGCTGACCTCCTCTCTCGCATGCTTCACCACGATCGACTCCTCCACCCCCATCACCAGTCCGCGCCCGCTCCCTCCCGCCCCCGCCTTTTCCATAACGACACCACTCCACCCACCTTCGATGATGACTTCGACACTGCCTCTCTCGACCCCTCCCAATTCACCATTGAGGACCCCCAGACCGCCCACCTTATGCGGACGGAACAACAGGATCGTGCCTCCCGACCGCCTTCTGCCCTCCACCCCGTCATCTCCAAAAACTTACACCCACAGAATGCATATACCTCCAAGAACACAACGGGTGTTTTCGCTGCCGCCAGTTAGGTCATCACTCGACCGGCCCCTCGCTCCACGGGACCCGGCCCTTCTACTCCCACTTCTTCCTCCACCGTGACAGTCGGGCCCTCCCCCACCTGAACATTGTCCCCCTGTCTCTTGCAATCCTCCCCAGGCATCGACCACTTGTCTGCCGGCTCTCCCATCAATGACGATCTCTCCTCCACCGGTGGCTCACTTGGCATCGACTATCCGCCTGCCTACCCCCCTCCGGTGACGCACATCCCATCGGACGAACCCCGGGCGACGCAGTCTACTCCGCCTGCCCCCCTCCCGACGATGGCTGCGCTATCCCGTCGGTCGAGCATCCCACCGGCACCTGCTCTTCTACTCTCAACCCTAAACCCTTGTGCAGTAACCCTGTTCAACAACAGACCGGGGCTCAGAACTTTGCCCCCGGTAAGACACAGACTCAGTTGTCT